AAAAATTCAAAATTAAAATCAAAACTTGTGGCTTTGCCGACACCGAGTGATCTGCTCATTAAGTTTCCATCTTTAGTAACTCAAAATCCATTTGATTTTATTTTAAATAAAAGTACATGCAATATTTATTTTTTTTAAGAAAAATATCTCAAAAATAAATTCATACATTTTTTAAAAATAAAAACAGGAACTAAAAGAAAAAAAAATTATGGATTCATATGTGCCCATTTACTGTAGAAGGCTTTTTATTTATATTAGGATGTTGTTTCAACAATAAAGGGGTACATATGAATCCATAATTTTTTATTTCTTTTTTTTTTTAGTTTCTATTTTTACTAAAAAAAATATATGAATTTATTTTTGAGATATTTTCCTAAAAAAATAAATATTACATGTACTTTTATTTGAAATAAAGTCTAAGTGAATTTTGAGTTACTAGAGATGGAAACTTAATGAGCAAATCACTTGGTGTTGGCAAAGCCATAAGTTTTGATTTTAATTTCAAACTCTGTCTTAATTTTTATATTTTCATATTTTGAAGTTTTTTTTTAATAAGTTTTTGGATTTGGACTTATCTGAAGAAATATTTAGCTTAAACTTTTGAAACAAAAGTAGATTTGCAGTATGAAGAAAGAGAATGTAAAGGAGGAAAGAGAAGATGGATGAAAGAAAAGGAAGTAGACTAGGACTCTTTAGTAATTTTGTAGTTTAAATTGGCCACATCACCCATCCAATGACACATCAGCACCAAGCCATTCCTTGGTAATGGAGTAACAAAATGTAGACGGAAAGATGAGATTTGATGATGTCATCATTAGTGGAAGGGCTGCCTCGCGGATTTTGTCAAGTAGAGGAGTTGATCTACACTACTTTTAAGTACAGGGGCTAATATGCCAGAACAATGGAACTAAAGGGGTTGAATTGCACCTTCTACCATTTCAAATTTTACATAAATCTTTATGCTACAAGTTTTTGTTTATATGCATGTAGCTCATGATAAATATCACTTGTAATGTGAGCTTCACATCATTACGTGTTTGGACTACTAATCCAAAAATTTCATGTTATTCTCGTGATTTTAATTATACTTGGATCGTGTCTTGTCATATTGGCCAATAATTTCTTTATTGACAATTTCCAATAGATTTTAATTCAAGATTCTTATTTTCTTTGATTATATCTTTCACTATTGCATATGCAAAAATATCATCAATAATAATTTCATTTGGCTTTTAACTTTTTCTAAGAGAGTCATAATTCATAGAGGTTTTATCATTTTTTAGGAGAATCATAATTCATAGTGATCTTATTATCGTATATAATTTCAAAATTCTGATTTTTTTCAAGTACCTAATCCTTTTATGAGGTTATTTTCTTAACAACTTTTCAAAAGTATTTATGATTTCAACAGTTCTAAATTTCTACTCCTACTTTCTCTTTAAGGGGATTCGAATTCTTAGAACCATTTGTTCTAGCATACTTATAACATGCATATAATCTACTCAATTGCTAATGTTTTAGCAATTTTTCTAATAGAAAATATCAATACTAGTAGGAGAATTTAAAACTTGAA